TAATTACTGGCGAAACGACGTTCTCAGATTGTAAATGTTGTGGCTTGGCTCTCCAACACACCGGTATGCTGTACTATTGACGAATTGGCACGTTCTGTTTACGTGACAACCCTTACTAGTTGGCTGTGTCGGGTGGTGACAGGTTTAACGACACATATTTACGCGATCTAACCCCGAAAAAACCTCTCTAGGAATATATAACTCACCATCATTGGCATAATGGAAATGCAGCTTGCACGCTTGCCACTGTCGAATGGTAATTCGTCAATGGTTTTGGTTCGCCTGTTCCAGTCCTGCACGTGTTTCGACGAAAGAGGATCCTCAGCCAACGGATTGCATCACCGGGCTTGCAAACGCTCCGTGCTCAGAATAAAAATGTCATCGTTGACCACGTGGCGGCACGTGGGCAACGTTTCTCGTGATTTGGAAGGCATTTGGCCAGAATGCCACGCGTGCCCCTGCGGCCCCCTGCCAGCAGCTCGTATATACCCGTGTGCACGCCACTGTTACAGAGCACGCACTTTCCATTGGACCGTGGACAACGAGTGTTATCTAAATATGGGGTCAAAGTGGTGAGCAAACTGGGTGAAACCTGAACCCGGTCCTGGGCCCACCTACACTTGAGCGACCTGCATCGGTGAAGTATGGTCAAACAACCCCCATGACTGACACAGTGTGGGAAGGCCTCCATCTAGCATTGAATCGGTAAAGGGCCGTACATTATTATTATTATTATTATTGTATAGATTTGAAAAAATTGTCTTTAAGCTTGAAACATTCGTGAATATTTCTGTTTCAATTTGGTTTAATATGAAAAAAAATGGCTGTTGAAAGGCATAATGTTTGTTGCTATGTGTCATTACGTTATATGTGCCAAGTGACACCCTGGACAGCCTTGCAAATGAGATGTTGCATCTCAAGGGATTGTCCAGGTAAAATTTTTTTTCAACAAATAAAAAAGAAGTGGGTACAATGAAATTACTTGGTTTATTCGCTTCCACCGTCGTGCAGTAAATGCAATATTTCACGGCTCTTGAACCAGCAAATATGACTCCACCGGCACATCTTCCACATCTGCCACTTCCGCGCCCCATCCATTTCTTGGACCCTCATCCATATTTTCATCGCATCGCGGCTGAAAGACCGCAACTCTCTCCTTCTGTCCCCCCCCCAAAATCCCTCGTCGCCAAACTGCAGGTGATCCAGAACACTGCTGCAAGACTCATCACTATTCACCCATAAAGGAGACCCGAATTCTGTACGGCGTACTCCAATGCCTCCACTGGCTCCCAGTTCAGCTGTGGAGCAACTACAACAGATCCTCCATGGATTCGCTCCCACCTCCCTATCCCCTCGCGTTCCGCTCTACTTCCCTCCGTATGCACTCCGACTCCAGTAACCAAGTCCTCCTTTAAGAATCCTCCAGGCAACCTTCACTCGACAGATTCCTCATTTTCTGTAGCTGCCACCTTGTTGTCTGAAATTGTGTCATCCTACGTCACGTGTTGAAGCCTAGGCTCAAGGCCACCCTCGTCCCCACTGCCAATGACTTTCTCTTCTCGCTAATGCAGCGTCTGCTTTACCTCCACCATCCCTTGTCTCCTTTCTCTCTCTGCCCTGCAGCTCATGTTGGTACTGAGAGCCTCAAAACAAAAGCTAAAATGTATCATCGATCCCCTCAAACCAACATAATCCTCCACCTCCGATCAGCACCGGTTGGCTACCTATGGTGCGAATAAGTTCAACATACGTATGTTGAATTTACGTGCGCAGAGATATTGTGTTGTACATCATATTTAGGCAGAAGCAGTGCAGCAAGTAGGTCGCTGTAGTGTTTCATGTGCTCCCTATGGCACATGGATTTCCTCCCATATACAGAAATTGGGCAAAACATCCCGATAAAGGGGTTTTCAGGTAACGCGGTGACTTTATAGCTGATTTCATTCAATGCTGCTGTTGTCCATCGTATTGTCAGAGTGGTGGATCAAAATAGCTGTTCAATTGATATTTACCACAGAAAACACGGTGATTTTTTAATATTGATCTCGGGCCCTATTTCAAAAGCTGGAAAGTTAGGGACTGTCCCCAGGCGTCCCCCGCCCCCTCTCCCCCCATCCCTTGAAAAGTGCATAAACTCTGGCCCTTGTTACTTTCAATGTTGCTGTTGCAGCTGATATTATTCCTGAAGATTATTTTAGATTTTATATTAAGACCGTAACTGCTGTGCTGTTGTCATTACTCGTATTCGTCTGTTTTCACGCGTGTATTATTGGTTATAATACCTGCAAATATTACCGATGTTAATACGGTATGAGTAAAAATCACCAAGCGAAGTAGTGAATTGCATGAAACGTGTATTTTAAATGTTGGTGTTTCTGTGGAGCAGTTAGCGTGCTACGCTAGGACCTGGTGACCCGGGTTCGATTCCCACTCACAGTCAACACTAGTAGCGGTTATCTGAACTGGTCCTGGGCCTCCCCTAGATCGACTCAGCCTCAAATGAGTATCTGATGTGATTTGTAAACATCGCCACAAAGGAGACAAAGGCGGCCATGCGTGATGTTGGCTCCCCACCCCCTCGTGTGCCGTGCCAGCCTTCATAGGTGCTCGCTAACAGCACTTGCCTCAACAGTCTGTTAACGCTATACGGGCGATCTTTGTCCTTGTGATCATCTCCATGTTGAGTGTTTCTTTGGGAAACGTGTTTCTCTTTTCCAGAAACAACTTTTTTTTATTTACCAGGTCAATCCCACTGAGCTATGAGATCTTTTTCAGAGGCGACCTGCCGACACGTGATAACTCAGCACAGTGGCTTATCATGTGAGAGAATTATAGGAGCCAAACAATCGAGACGCTTCCTTATGATCGTGGAGGGCAAAACCGGAGGACCCGGAGGAAGAAGAAAAAAATCCATGCCACCACCACGGAGAGAGAACGCGTGGACTCCAAATATTTCTAGCCGTCAGAATTGGGATCGAACCCATGTCCTCCTGTGTACCAGGTGAGAGAGACGTTTCATCGCCACCACCAGGGCGCCCTCGCCACCCTCTACAAGCCGTGCACCCTCTGCTTACGCTCAGCCTAGCAACCCATTGACCCTATCATTCCGTGCACTCACTTCATACCGTACCATCCACCTTCAACACTACTCCCTTCTATCAGCATCGTCCACTATCATCCTCCACCCATTCCTCATTCAACCCCCCCTTACACCATCGCCTCCTTCACCTGCTGCCACGTGTCATTCATTGTACAAACCCGATTGATAACGGCCGTACTACGCCGAAGTCGGCAAGCATTGGTCAAGCGCCTTGGCGAAAGGCGCGTTATACATCCGAAATATAATAAAATGTAATGACACTTATGGATTTAAAGCTTTCGTGACTGCAGGGATTCATCTTCTGAGTTCTTTCGGTAAAGTCACGTAGAAGGGAAATAATAAAATAATACAAATAAAACATCATAAAACACAATTCTCACGACGTTTCGGCTGTCTTTCCGACAGACCTGTTCTTCACCTGAGGACGGCTGCTTGCGTTGTGGCCGAAACGTCGTGAGAATTGTATTTTATTATGTTATATATTTTTTTAACACGTAGGCTTTCGCGACCAATATTATTCATAATAAACGTTTTTGGGTTTAGGTCGCGTTATTTATAATAATATTTTTTTATTTTTTTTTTATTTCCCTTCTACGTGACTTTACCGGAATAACCAAGAAGATGAACACTTTTGGTTTAACACGTAGGCTTTCGCGACCAATGTAATCCGTAATCCAGTTTTTTTTTTGGGGGGGGGGGGGGTTAAATGTGCGTAAATAAATAAGTGCTCACAAGTGACGCCATCACATCGACCCCTTTGTTTAAGGAACGAAACAGGAGGATTTCTCCGCAAATCTGGCTATCCTCTGATGAAGCTAGTTGTAATTACTGGCGAAACGTCGTACTCAGATTGTAAATGTTGTGGCTTTGCTCTCCAAACACACCGGTGTACTGTACTAGTAACGAATTGGCATCTTCTGTTTACGTGACAAACCTTACTAATTGGTGGTGGCGGATTTCACGACACATTTATACATCTACACGATCTAACCCAAAAAAAAAACCCACCTATATTATGAACACTTTTGTTCAGATTTGGCTGTGAAGGCCCAAAACATTGGACACCTTGTGGTGCACGCTTGAGTTTTCATGCACAAGCATACACAGTCGGGGAAGTGTCTACAAGCGAAAGTGCCATTCGAGAGCGCACACTGGCGCAATCTGCGTCGTTTTTTGCTTTGCCGATCGCAGGGGGGAAGTCCGTAGTTTTATTCTTCTTACGAAAGCATTTTACTTTCGCCTAACATCTTCGTCCAGATGGGAACGATAACCTTCTAAGTCCGAAATTCGAAGAAGAATCTCCAACATCACCACAATATTATTATTATATTCAGTTGAAGGAATGCTTTTTTTTTATTCAACAATATATCCTACAGGTTTAATATAATCCATAATTAAGGTTTATTTTGGTCAAAGCCTCCGTGTTAAACTTTATGGAATCCTAATGCTTATTTCAATTGGCAAAAAATATTTTTCTCAAAATGTTTTTTAAATGTATAAAAGCATCATCCACCAATCATGCCGTGGATGTTGCCCCTATTGTTTTACCCAGTGATTGGTAACTGCTTAAAAGGACATAAACGTCGTGTTTAATTTTATAAAGCACCTAAAATATACATTCGCTCTTTGAACATTTACAAAGAGTGCGAGCTTTAATTTTCTTTTAAAAAATTCTCAAACAAAACAACAATAACGCAGAGGCGTATCTTGCGGACAAATTCGTTCATTTTTCTACAGTACGTGGGACAAAAACACATGCGGTTGGAAATCTCCCTCCCAGTGTTTGGTAAATCCCACATAGAACCACGCGGATTCCGATGACACATTTCCTGCTACTGCGGAAGGCGGTCTATATAAAGGGGCCGGTCACATCCACCACGATACCAGTCGGTGGGTTACAGAGGGCAGTCAGCAAGCGACCCACGGAGGGTCACGCGCAAGCCAGCTTCACCAGCATGTTCATCAAGATGTTGAAACGCAGAACGTACTCGCTCATCAAAGGTATTGTGCCTCTCTAGATAACAATCACATTCACGGGTTTCAATGCCTGGCCACTGGCACGCGAGGCGATTGTGGCAAGCTTGCAGGGAAGCCCACAAAGCAGGACGAGAGAATGTTTGGCATTTTAATCGGAGACCGCGTGTGACAAGGCATGCAGTCGGTGAACAGTACGTGATTAATAGTTTAGTTAAACTAAAATTGCGATGCTAGGAGGCGTAAAGAGACCTTGTTGTAATCTGTGAAGTAGATTAATGCCATGCACAAACTGTTGAACATTTGCATGCTGAAAGAGCGTAGAGTGTTATGCAAAACTACAGCTGTCTTTTAAAGTATTCAAGCGTGTCTTTGAATATACAGTAATCGTGCATTATGAAACTAGATTTTAAAAAATATAAATTTTCCGGAATATAAAAAGTATATGTGCAGACCTTTGTTGTTTGTAAAATTATTTTAATGACCTTTTACAAATCACATTCTTATATTGAAACAATGAATTCTGTTATATTTACCCCTCCCTCTTGTGCCGGTGTGTGAGTATTATTGGGCTGTTTTACATTTTGTGAAATTTTAATTCACTGTTCTTGTGAATAATTGAAGTCTCTCTGAGCGGCGCGATAATAACCAGTTAATAAATAGCGTGCAGATTAAATGATTCATGATACGGTTGCTTGGCAGAGATGAGAAACAAACATTGTGCTTAGACGGCGTAATTTAAAGACCACAAAAACCAGATATGATTGTCTTGAAATCTTATAAACACTTTCCCACAGATCAAACTAAAACCACTCACCACATTCACCATTAACACTGCTTCCAAACAGAAACGTAGATTAACATACGGACACATTTATGCCTTGGTCATATTTCAAACCATAACTTAGAAGATTAGCCTCTCTGTTATTCGGCAGCATTAATGATGAATGCGTTGAGTTTGTTTTACGTGTGCTTGTACACCACGGCTCACACAGTCCCTCAATTGTTTGGTTTTAAATTACAAAGACAAAGATCCCCCGTATAGCCTTAACAGACAGTTGGGGAAAGTGTTTGTTGCGGTTGCACCCGATTCAAGAGCCGAATGGCTCACAGGGCTATACCCAATAAATGAACTGAAACTGAACGGAAACTAAAAAGCGAGCACCTATGAAGGCCGGCACGGCACACGAGGGAGTGGGTGGACAACACTACGCCCGGCCGCCTTTGTCTCCCTAGTGGCAATGTTTACACATCGCACCAGTTACTCACTTGAGGCTGAGTCGACCTACGGGACGCCCAGGACCGGTTCAGATAATCGTCACTGGTGTTAGCCGTGAGCGAGAATCGAACTCGGGTCGCCGGGTTCGTAGCGCAGCGAGCAAACCGCTCCACTGCAGTAACACCTCTTCTTGGTTCTTTCGGTAAAGTCACGTAGAAGGGAAATAATACAATAAAAAAAATAAAACATAATAAAATAATTCTCACGTTTCGGCCACAACGCAAGTAGCCGTGCATTAACACAAGTATCACGTACATGTAAAACACCATTCTCAATCCACTGCTGCATCACAGCCTCCCTCTTTGCTGTACGCTTTTCGCAAGGGTTTTAGTTATTTAACCTCATCCCACACTGCTCCATACGGGTGCAGAGACGCAGGGAGCATCGCAGTTCAGTAGAACGGATTTTCTTGCACTAATCTCCGTTGCCCACCATGTATTCATTTAGCCTATAACACCTACACTATGAGATACTCCTATAACACCTGTTATACACGATGGTTGTCCATCCATCTAAGCACTATGCAGGCTTAACTCTGCTTAGCTTCCAAGATCTAATGAGATTGGGCACATTCCGAGTGATCTGGTTATACCCCCCCCCCCACTTCCGCAGTTGTCATTTAAGCTCGACGTTAATTTATTTTCACGTTTCACCGGACACATGTACGACTCCTCGAGCCACAGGTGCAATGTCGTACTGCTGCCCGTAGCGGTGGTTTCAGCCATATACACCGTGTCCATCTGTACGGCTCCGAAGATCGGCACGCCGGTACTAACGCTCTCCTGTCCCGTGCGCAGACGAGTCGGCGGACAAATTCAACAACGGCGTGAAGTTGACCAAATACAAGGCGATGAGCTACGTCCATTCGGCGCCGGGCGGCGTGAAGACCGCTCCTGCACACCTCGGAAGGCCCGCTATGCCACGACACGAAGGGGCGGTGTGCGGTCGCGTGGCTCCGGCAGAAGACGCTGGGGACCGGTTGGAGGCCACCACGTTGTCAACTCAACACCCAGAGGCCAGCGGCAGCAGCGTCGGCAACATCGGCGGCAATGGAGAGGCAGAAGCTTTATCTGCCCAATCAATTGAAAACGCTGCGCTCGCCCAAGCTATCGAGCTCCTCTTAGACCAATGTGGGCCCCTCACCCAGGAGATAGAGGTCCCAGAAGGTCCGCACCAGGTGTTCGATAACCATCGTCGTGATCCATCTCAAGAGGAAGTTGAGCAAAAATGTAATGGCATGGATCACCGGATGAAAGCTGTGTGCTCAGATGATGTGGAAGTGAGTGTACCAGTGGTTACATTGCAGTCCACGGACAGTTTAGAAGCACTGGTAGAAGATGTCGGGGATTTCACCGCTGCAGGAAAACCTGAATCTGCAGGTTGTAAGAACGTACAACTGACGTTGAGTTGCCTATCTGGCCAAACGCTGTGCTGTGTCAAAGACTGCGCTCATAACGTCGACGCATCTTCCTGCGCGGACACCGCCAGTCTCGATGCCTTGCACGACTCGGACAGCGACCACTCCACACTGGAGTTGGGCGTGAGTCAAGAGAGGGAGCTGCCCGCCGCCATACCCCAGGACGGCGTTCCGACAGCGTCTGGCAAGAAGGCGGTGGCCAGGCGACGCTTCTTCAGTGACACTCTCGTCGCAAGCGACGGGCACCGAGTCGGGACGACGAATTCAACGGTGGACGCGGAGCGCGCGCGACGCGGCGGCACCGCATGCCCCGGCAGCGGCGACAGCGTTGGCCAGTTTCACCCAGGCCTCCTGCCAGAAGACGACGAGGAAGAGGTGTTTTTGAAGCATGAGCCCCGGCGCTCGGTCGCCTGCCCGCCAAACTCGTGCCAGGGGAATTCGTCACCGGTGGAAGGAGGAGGACGGTCTTGGTTCGACGAGCATCGGGCCCTTGACGAGACGGTGGAAAGCCAAGAGGACCGCCCAGTCAAGGTACTGAATGTAAAGGTTTTTTTGGTAGCTTGCCATACTCCATGCATTGTCACACGTGAAGGATTTGTGCTTATCTGCCAGTCCTTGATAAACACAAATGCATTATTAATCAGTTATTGGCTGGACGTAGCTAAGGCAGGATAGAGGCTACGGTCTGCTTTGGCAGTTGAGTGGTTTACCAAAGATGGACAATTTAGGTACAACAACCACACAATCTCACTTTTAATCTCTCGTGACAGTATTAGGCAATGTTCTAATTCTGTGTTGTGGACAAGGCAACGGAGTCTTTAATAACCATTTAACAATTCATCAATAAATATATTAAAATGTATGAATAACTTTTTCACTTAGATGTTATGCTAACGCAATCTTTAGCAAACTGAATTTAAAAATGACAGGAAAACGAGATTGAACATCAACAAGAGGCAATACAAATCGGACAATATGAATGAGACGAAAACAAATTATAGGTCGTTAAATCATATCATGATGCAGAATCGTAACAATTCATTACATGTCAGTGGAAGATAAATGAATGGTTACACGCACGGTCTTAACATATACTTTATATAAGATGGATTGTATGAGTTACTAATGTCTACGCGAGTATTATGGGACGGTGGTGAATAGGACGTCACGGTGGCGAAATGTTAACTCCCTCGCCTGGTATACAGGCGGTCGTGGGTTCGATCTCGACCCCCTGACGCCTGCTGTATATTTGGAGTTTGCGTGTCTCTCTCCCCGTGGTCGCTGAAGGATTTTTCTTCGGGTCCTCCGGTTTTTCCCTCCACATTTAGAAACACACGTTTAGAGTATTTGGCTCCTATAAATTTCCACAGGATAAGCCACTTCGTTGAGCTATCATTTGTGGCCAGGTCGCTTCTGAAAAAGAGCTATATGGCTCGGTGAGCCTTACCTGGTAAAATAAAAAATAGTTTAGTTCATAGTTTAATATCACTCTGTAAGCCACGTGCCAACTGACTCAGTTGCTAGTGCTGTGCCCACTGAGGCACCCATTCTCTTTGAAACAAAGACGATATCGTGCAGCGCCAGTTCGAGTTCTCTGCTGGAACCGAGGGTGAGTAATAGGGCACTGCCAGTTTTTAGCTGGAGGTGGGATTAAGAGGAAAAGTTCAGATTTCCACGCTGATAGGAGCAAATTATATTTACGGAAAAACCACGTGAGCCTACACAAATAAAACATAGCTTAAAATAATTTAATCGAGCCAGAGAAATAAAAAAAAATTGCTCGGTCTACAAAAAAAAGTATAATACTTATTTAATGGATTAATCTCAATTCTCCTCTGTAGAAAAAAACATAGTAATGAAACCGACTCCTTCGCCAAAACAATATAATTGTTTACCAACCCTATTATTGTTTTTTTTTCAATGTGGGTGACCGTGTATTATCTTTACCTGTATTGAATAACAATCGGAAGTGGTGTCTTGACACAGTGGTTATCACGCACTGCACTATAAAACACGGACGCCTGAATACTATTTCCGCCACGGCTACCATCAGTGGCAAGTGATCTCTGAACCGACCCTGGCACCCACTAACCTCCCCCTCCACATTTAACAATCTCCACTGACAAGCGTGGTGGAGTATGGTCAAACAACCCCTCAACCCGGCATGGATGTGGATACCTTGATCCAGCAGTGGATTGACAAAGGCTTATGGTTTTTTCCTTCATAATATTTATTCATTTAGCATGGACATTTTAAGTTGGAAAGTTCAAGGGAAAATACAACCGAAAAAATATCACATGTAGTATCAAAAATGTTTACACATTTTTTTCTTCTAAAATAAACGTGAAATGAATAAATAAAAGTCCCGGTGAGGATGGTGCTTCGTATCTAATCTCCTGTGTTTGCAAAGCCCTCTTGTTTAACCTTTGCCATCAAACGGACTCGGACAACATCCAAATAAAATAAACATTTGCAATCTCGCCTAAAATTCCATCCGCTCGGAGGAGGATAGCAGTGAGTACAACATTATAAATATACGTACTAATAACGCTATAATTTTTTTACTCTTAACACTAATCAGAAAGTGCCTGTTCAAGAAAGTGGTCGCTAAGTCAAAATGTCTCCCTGCTCAAATGAGCAATGGGTCAGCCAATCACCTCCGTGATTTTTCTGTCAGCAATATTTTTTATGTTTATTTTACCACCTCTACATTATCCCGATTATATTATTATCGGTGCCACGCCCTGAGACGAATCATTCATCGCGGAGCAGTGCAACCACCAATTCCTCGTGTTGGAGAGAACGGGCCGCAGAAGCAAACATTACGGCGCTACCTCTAAAAAAAATCCCTTCAGGTGACCCTCCAGTCCACACAGTAGAATGGAGCACTTTGCAACTTGCATACGAGTCAAGCCGATCCCTTCAATGTTCAGCGCCAGAATTCAAACAAATTAAGTGCGAAACCAAATTTTACGTCACAGTTGTTTGTGCAGTCATTGGTGACCAGCCAGAGACCAAATCAATTCACCTGAGAACCCAGTTTAAGCACTCTGACCTCTGAGCCATCCTGACACCTTGTGGCAACCACATTTGAAACGGAGACGATGCAGAGTTTGCAAGATGAATAATATCTCCACTGCTATTTTTCTCGCCAGCCGTCCAGGCAGGCATCGACTCGCCGAGTTACGGGTTTGGATCACCTGGACCAGCTGTGCTGTCTCATGGAGAAGATGGGCCATCAAAAGGAGGCCAACAAGAGGCTTCAGCAGGAGATCCAGCAGCTTCAGACCGAGCTGCAGGCTCAGAAGCTCCAGCAGGTGAGGGCTCACATCCGGTTTTACAAAATGACTTCATTCAATTAATTGATTGAACACCGATATGATAATAGGTTTTTTCCCCTTTTTTCTGGCAACAAAACAGGTGTTAAGATGATTAAACACCAAACTGAAACCTTTTACAAGGAATCATGTCTGCAATAACCACAATGCTTGTGGTCAGAATGCAAAAAAACATACTCTGATAAGATATATTGTCCTTGAAACTGATTGGTCCACACCAGAGACAGCTTTCTTTTGAGCCTCGTCTCAAACGGTGTTAGACCAGAGGACGCCAAAAGGCATACAGCACAAAGACAATGCACTACCAGAGTAATGAGAGCTTGGGGTGAGCATCTACATCATGGGACCTCCTTTGCCAGTACCATCTTAACACCCGTTTTGTTGCCAGAAAAAAGGGGAAAAACCTATTATCATATTTTGGTACTGGCAAAGGAGGTCTCATGATGATGATTGAACACCGGGTTGTTACTGCACAGAATGCATCGTTGGGTCGATGTTTGACTTCGTATTAATGCAGAGACGGTGGATAATATCTCATGCCTGTAAATGCATGTGTATTGTGAAAGCTACTCAAGATTACACTTATGGTGATGATAATAAAAATGTACTGTCCTTCACAACAGCAAATATTCTATCAGCATTACTGCCCTAATTTAGATGAAGGACATCAAAGACTCAATTTACAAGTCTGGCAGTAAAACTGTACATGTCTCAGCAATCGGTATGCTCAGACTTATGAACAACCTTAAACCAATTGTCTCATTGTCCTCCCGTTGTCTTTCATGATATGGACACAATTTTGACTCCACGACCTACGGGTGAACAGGGGCTCTGTACATCGTACACACAGTGCCGTGATGTCCCTGGACATGCACGGCATGGTGGGAGGACTGAACCATTGGACACGATGGCACGTTTTGTTGTTTGTAAATCAATATTTGTGTGACTCATTAAATACTACCACTCTTCTAAGTGTACTTTTCCCAACTCGTTGGCAGGAGGCCATGAGATCCCGCTGCACATGCGGAGCGACCGTGTGGCAGAGGAAGGCATGGGGCTCTGCAATGCCTGGGCTTTCCTCGCCGGCCCGTCACTCCGTCCACCAGTCCACCGCGACTGTCGCTCGCGTGAGGGTCAACTCCGAGGCGGCCGGGTGGCCGACACGGGAGGCACTCGGAGGTGAGCCGACGGACAGAGCGCTCTTCCCCGTTTTTATTTCATTTTGTTTTGGTTTTGGCATCTTCCTGAAGCGTAGATCGGTTAAGGATTCACGTCTGGATGTGAGACAGGGTTTGCGCTTGCACATTTAAAGGAAACCCATCGTATTAGTATCGTTTTGGAGTGAGCCCGACATCCAAATATAGGACCACAGAGGTTGGGCAATTGTGGTCTCTGGTTCTGGATGCCTTTCCACTTTTCTGTGGCTTCTCGTGCCTTTTCATAGTTCTCTCTCTCGTTCTGAGATTGAACTAAATCTGTGCGCGTTACAAATTGTACATTACCGTTGTATGCAGGAAAATGTCCTTGCGCTTAATAACTATCTTATAACTGGGGACCAAGCAGGCCCAACTGCTGGAACAAATTTAGCGTTCTTATTCAAGAAACGATTATGCACGAAATGTTTTACTCCTCCATCATTCTTAAAAGGGCGCTAGAACTGAATTGAAACATTACCCTCCCATCTTTGATGTAAACATATATATGAACTGCCAGTATATACTTTACATATACATTACATACATCCACACATCATGCTGGACGTGTGCGGATGTTTCAATCAACATTCTGATACCTAACTGGATTGAAATTACTTCACTGATGAGTAGCAATGAAAAATGAACGATTGCCTCGCGTCCCGATGTTAGAGCATGTGCCGCGTGTGTTTTGCAGGGCTGCACCGGCGAATGGGCTCACTGAGGGAGGAGCGCACGAGGCTGACACGCGCGCTCACTCTGAGATCCGACAAGCACGGCTAAGATAGAGCCCCCCCCCACCCCACGCCTCCTACCGGTCTCCTGCCTGCACACAGGTCAGTCGCAAACGCATTGACTGACTCGCCCCCCCCCCTCCCCCCGGGGCCTCACACACCCAGGGCCGGGATCAACGGATGGGCCAAATCAGGCCGTTGTGATTTTTTGTAGGCCCTCCTTTAGTGACGTCTCTAGCGAACGGTAGCCATGGGGAATGAAACAAAAAATGTTGTCTTTGAATTACGATGATCCCGTCACCACCTCTGTCGCGGTCCTGCGATGCAACAAACCGCACGGCACCGGCACACGAGCTGCTCAGTCGATGTTCTCTTCACTTGCGTTCCATTCCTTGGCTGCCACTCACTGTATTTGACCACCGGCCATCAATCCTCTTCGGGATGCATCCTGTCCGATCCCACTTCCTTTTTTTACAGTTTGAATCATGTCTTTAACCTGCATTTGTTCTCGAATCCATGTTGTTCCTCTTTCCGTCTCTCAGTGTAATTCCAAGAATGCATCTCGCCACGCTTCTCTGTGCACTTTTCGGTTTCTGATCCATTTTCTTGTTAATGACCTCGTGTCGTCTGAACCACCGCTGGGTCATTAGCAGGTACAGTAGTACTCCTCTGACTATAACAACGCAATTCTTTTACAGTGTGACATGGGGTGGAAATATTTGGTGACATATTGACAAATTTCCATCGTGGCCAGTTGTGGTTTCAGTGCTGGCCTCGGGGCACATGCCTTCGCAAGATAACAGTGACCTTGAAATCTGAAAATACGTCAGACGAAAGAGGCATCGGTCAATAGTGTCAATGTCCCACCGGCCACCCGCCCACCCTCTCGGCCACTGGGTTGCGTTGACGACTGACCATCAGATAGCCAATAGCAGTCACTGTTATCTGTTTAGATTGTTGGATGTGGACTTCCAGGGACTGTATTGGAACTGGTTCACAAGTACAAATAAAAACAAACCACATTCATTATATTACACTTGGTTTTATAGTACTGCAGGTATGTTTGTGAGTTGTTAATCAGCGATGACTTAACTTTGGAACAATTTTGCCAAGTATTTGACAGTACATTAAAATTCAAGATATTTGAATGTGATCGTTTTTTTATTTTCTGTCTTGGCAGCATAATCATTGCAAATACACAAAAAACATCTCTTGACGAGGTCGTCTGCGAGTTCAAATCCTATTTGTGGATCGACTCAGCTCTGCATCTCTTTGAGGCATAGTAGCTATGGAGTGTGCTGTACTACACTGTACAATGCTACATACGGTGTCATTGAGCCGGGACCCATGGACCGAAGGGGCCCAGGCGCTAGGCTCTGCAAAATATTCCCTCGTTCCTGACGAACTTGCTATCTGTGATTTTGGCTATCCGCGAATCGCATCTGAAACTCTACATGACTGCTGCATCGAGAGAGAGAGAGAAAGTGATGAGAATGTGATGAGATAATGTGATGGGAAATAAAGTGATGGGATTTATGATTTATCTACATTTATTTAAGGTAATTCATCGTAGGCTATTATCATTAGCCGCGAAATTTGCTATTCATGAGCATTTACGGTATGTCCCCCTCGCGAATAACGAGGCAATACTGTAGAGGGGAGAAATGCAATTCCTTGAATCAAAGCCCATACGTTTCAAACAACACACAAAGACACGTTTTTGCATATCGTTTGAAACTGAAGGTTTTCTGGCCTGCACTGTTCTTCTCTTAAGGGTTTTTATCGTCATTTACAAAATGTGACCGGGCCCCACGATGCCAAACACAGTGGTTATGCCACCCCCACTTTGTCGTTAGTCACGGCAGCTGCCCGCTCTAAAAAGTGCTCGTCACCATAAAAATGTGGCTCTTTTCACCGCGGACTCGAGAGCTTGCAAACAGGAGACGAGCGTGGACCCACACAGGAAACCAACTTCTGTCTGGAGCAGTTAAGATCGATCCGGCAGACATTGGATGTTGTCCTCGTATGGTGAACCCCCATCGCGGGCCAATCCAGTGCCGGAATAAGCTTGTAGCACATGTTATAAAGGGGCCCTAAATAAAAAAAAACACAAATATTAAACACACATTTTGTGCTTGCAGAGTAAAGTAATTGTATTTTTTGTTTGCTATGCAGCCAGATAATACGACAAATCGCTAACCTTGAACACTCAGTCGTTCATAAAAGTTGAAGGCAGTATAGTACTATAGTAATTGAGCAAGTGCAGAATCACTGAACCCGAATTGACAGCTTGAATGCGTTTGGCCCTTGAAAGTGCGGGGCGCGTAGCATACGTGGCTACATTTGCTACTGGGATAATCCGGCACTGGGCCAATCGGTGCACGTTACCAGCTCTCTACGCAAAACAAGAAAAGGGGGCGACTGAGCAGAACCTGCGGTTAGCGCGAGTGGAAAAGACGGTGCGTGGGGGGGGGCTTTCCACGGTGGTCGGCTGAGCACATGACTGCACTTTCTGAATTACATCGGTGTGAGGTCACAGGCCACACGCCCGTCATGTGCCATTACAAACGGGTGGGCGGCCATTTACACGATGAGGCCATTTGTTCCATATTTATATTGGAGAGAGAGAGAAAAAAACCATCAGAATGTTGTGTTGGTAATTATGGAAAGCTAGTTGGTTAACGAGGAAACGATATTTATATTTACACATACTTGGACACGTTTCAAAATCCACCCTCCACCCATCCCCCATGTATGTGCAGTTTAAAATTCAAATTGTCATTATAGATACAAGTTAGTTTATTTAGCAATAGATGTCGTCTGATTGTTGAAGGTCTTTGTAACGCGACAGCTACTAAGAGATAACTATCACACGTGCCAATTTTAAACTGTTCATCAGGATATATTTGTAATAATGTAATTGAAATTCGGTCCCATGGTGTAAGGTACCATCTCCAACCCTTACCATCTCCCGGGCCTCTGTATTTATGTGCTATGAAGAAGGACCATTGCCCGAAACGTTGTCTATTATATATTTACATATTTCAGGCCACAGTGTTATTGACCGATATATGTTGCGGTTATTTTATTTGTAGATATACCGTACATCCAAGTGTATTGTACAGTAACAACACACTGATACTATGATAGGAAATCTTGCAATAACTTAATAATATGCATGAGGCTATGTGTGAAAGGCTTGTTTTTTTGATATAATAACCAAAATATTGCATGTATTGTCCATATTTTACCAATATATTTTAAAGAAGTAATAGAAATATCATTACAGCACATTTTTTATCCACTGTAAAGTGAATACCCTCCCCATGTCAAATAATAAATAATCGCATATAATAAAATAAACTTACTTATGTAAATAACCAAGCACATTAAATAATGGATCCCATTCGCATCAGTACACGAGGATACAAATGAAGAATCTCACTCTTCTTAAAGAAGAGCCATCACTTGAAACATTCGTCAATTACATATTTAGTTTGCTCTTATAAGGGGCAGTGTTAACGATGCACGTGTTGACTTTTAAATAAAATGCTGATTCTCACGGGGCACCTTGACCGAGGCACACTAGAGACGGCTCAGCGCAAAGGGCGCATGGCCTCGTCAAGCAATGTACGCTTGCACCACCCTCGCTGTTGCCCAGCACAACTTTGTTCAGCTTCCGAAATCGGACCAACAGGATGCCCGGTGTGCAACTGCACATCATTTATGCGTTTTACTTTGTATCATTACTAACCCTGAGATGTTAAACGTTACGTATTTCCTCCAGGGGTGACGAGCACCTGCCGAGGATCTCAACCGTGGAGTTGGTTTCTCTTTTGGGGGACCGAAGACGTCTACACGCAGCGGCGGTGCCACAGCGTCCCTCGACTCCAAGCGACATTTGACGCGTCGCTCACAACCGCCCGTCCGCCCCCCTAAAAACAACCTCCGACGTGAAGTCGATATCAGGGGAAGGGGAGCGTAAAAGCCGGACTCAGCAGCAGCGGCGATTGTCTCGCGTATAGGTCCGCCTCCGTCGCGTAGCTGGGACGACTTTGTCATGTTCATGCTGAGCCGGTCACGGTGAAGTCTCATCTCTGTGTGCGGCAGATTGAGACGGGGGTGAAGGTTTCTCCTTTGTACGACGCGGCGTGGCCACGTGATGTATCGCGCGATTGTACAACCGACAGGCGTGCGATTTTTTTTCCACGTGCACGTTCACAGAATGCGTGTTTGTGCTATCAAAACGAATGCTGCCTTTGAAACAATTGCAATTACGCGCGTTTGCGTGTTTGTTAAAACTGTGACTTTTCGCAACGACGTTGATGATGAAATATCCATCATAAGCTAACCTTAATAAGCTTAGTCGCAAAGTTGACGTGAGCGATTGGATGGTGGTGGCAGTTGTCATTGGTGGTGGTCCAGGGCCATTGATGTTAATGATATCGTCCGATGGCAAGAATCAGTCTGAATCGTAAAGGACAACCGATGTTGATGGTGCAGCCTTGTCGGAAGGTGCACATTTTATCCAGCACGGAGGGATAAAAAGAAAATTTAACTCGGGCTTGTAACTTGGAGAAATACCCTCAACTGAGTGAGCTCGAACGTAGCTCAACATAGCTAAGATGTTTTTTTGTTCATGTTTTTGTTTTTTGTTTGTTGCGGTTGCACCCGATTCAAGAGCCGAATGGCTCACAGGGCTATACCTAATAAATGAACTTGAACTTGAGCTCATTTCAAAGTGCTGTCCAAACGAGTATTTGGCATTGCTCAACTTCCTGCTAACAGCCTTGAAAGCTGGGTTGGGCATTTCACATTACCATGCCATCTATAGGCCAACGACTGCCTTCACAGTGGTTCTCATTTTTTTTTATCAACTCCAAACGGGACCACAGGATGTGCTGGGCTTCCCCCCACAGGGACTTGAATTTGCAATCGTCCGGTTGTGGGTTAAGCACTCTTAACTACCGTGTTAGTCGTAATAACGTATCGTATCACAGACCACGTACGATTTTACTACCATTTGCTGTATTCAAGAATCAGCCACTGGTTGATCATTTTTTTTACGTTCCAATTTGCACTAGGGATTAACTTGGACATTGTAACTTAACAATTTATGGGCAGCAAATGCCCATCATTTTATGTTGACGGCACTTGAACATGTCCATTTATGACCATGGGGTATTGCAGTATTGTTATATTTTAAATGCACGGTACTGTATTTTTGTTGTAAATAAAGAACTCGGGCAAACGTCACACTGTTCCGTCTGCATCACAAAACTCACGGAAAAAATATAAATCTTGTAATTGCTGTGACTGTGGTAAAGTATGCGTAACCTCCTACCAAACAACCCTACCTGGTCCGTGTTCAAGTCCAGCCAAGTTCATTGTGTTGAACCAGGCTAGGACTCAAGAGAATGGTGATCGCCTCATTTGCAAGAGTAACCCGGGAAAGAAAGGGTTTACGGTATTATTTGTCTAGACGGGAATATGTAATGATTTACTGTTTTGACATTGCATGCTCAAGTCTGAATGAACACAATTGTAATGTCGTGGCGTTTGGTGTTTAAATTCACTGCCCGGTGAAGGGTTGTTATTCGTGGATAATGGGACCATAACAAAAACGTCTGCAGTGAGTTTAAGGCCTTGCGATATACGGTAATGCCATGGTATTATCGTATAATTCAAAAGTAAAACGCTGTAACACTGCGCACTTTTTGACATTCCTAAATCGTTCATGCGATATAAGGTAACGTTATATTGGTAGGAACCTCCTGGTTACACCAGCCCATAGGGGATTATTGTGTCCGTCCGTTGTGCATCCAAAAATGGGAGGGGTGGGGCTGGGTGGAGAGGGGAGGGTGGGGAAGGGCTGGGTGGGGAGGGAGGGGCTGGGTGGGGAGGGTGGGAAGAGGCTGGGTGGGGAGGGTGGGGCTGGGTGGGGAGGGGCTGGTCACCCCGTGGTGCCCTTATAAAACTCAACGTTTAACCTACTCACGCCGGCTTGTGCCCGCCCTCACAGTCTGCCATATTTGCGGAATACACCACGCCGCCGTTGACCCTGGCCATTGACCGAGCAACCCAACGTTCCTACCAGCTCCCTCCGCAGGAATGTGTTAATAATACAGTCGTTGAAACTTGAGTATTCGCTCACCGTGAAAGAGAGGAAACGACTTAGGAGGTGCGAGGAGGAACGGCAGACAAGCGGGAAGGCAGCCACTCGATTCCCCCAAGCTCTGCAGTCCTCGACATACACACATACATTAACGAGTGAGTGTTTACACGTGCGAGCACCCGAAGAAATAAAAAAACTCACGCGCGCGAGGTGGCAACAGCTCTTAGGGGCCGTCCATAAATGACGTCACGCACCTAGAGGGGGGAGGGGGGTCAGACATTTGTGACGATGTGTGACGAGGGGGGGGGGGGTTGAGAAATGTGACGTCACATAAAAATGCGCAACTTTAAATAAATATAGCCAACACGTTCTACTTAATTAAGTAGACTTTTTAATAAATGTTTTCTCCTACAACATCAGAGTGCAGCGCCACATTAAACACGCACTACAATGACAATAGTTTAAAGCGATTTGAAGCATGTTTTATTTGGGGGGGGGGGGGGACAGAGCTTTGTGACGTCATATTTGAGGGGGGGTCTGACTTTTTGTGACGCCGTGTGACGAGGGGGGGAGGGTGTCAAAAATCGTCCAAAATCGCGTGACGTCATTTATGGACGGCCCCTAGCACTGATTTCGGATTGATTGGTACCCCAGTCGTGGAGTTAGGTACACCCCTGGAAACAAATAGTGAAATAAAATATTTAATTGCCTCGGCCATTGTGTATTATTTGGTATTCCCCGGGGTACCGCCATAAGGATCAGTTTACAATGAACATTAAAAGTAAATAAATTAATATGCACCCGCTGTTCCTAATGTGAGGGGCAAAGCGAAGCCCTGCCCCCCGCCAAATCTAGAGGTCAAACTCCGCCTTTGTTTAATACATCAGGTGATAGTGGTTGAGACAATAAGAATGGGATTGTTAAAAGTGGTGGTGTCGGTTTGGTGACAGGAGGGGTCGTGATAGGGGTTGGGGTCGTGATAGGGGTTGGGGTAGTGGTAGGGGTTGGGATAGTGATAGGGGTTGGGGTAGTGATAGGGGTTGGGGTAGTGATGGGGGTAGTGATGGGGGTTGGGGTAGTGATAGGGGTAGTGATTGGGGTAGTGATAGGGGTTGGTGTAGTAATAGGGGTTGAGGTAGTGATAGCCAATGGGGTAGTGATTGGGGTTGTGATGGGGGTTGGGGTAGTGATAGGGGTTGAGGTAGTGATAGCCAATGGGGTAGTGATTGGGGTTGTGATAGGGGTTGGGGTAGTGATAGGGGTAGTGATTGGGGTAGTGATAGGGGTTGGGGTAGTAATAGGGGTAGTGATTGGGGTAGTGATAGGGGTTGGGGTAGTAATAGGGGTTAAGGTAGTGATAGCCAATGGGGTAGTGATTGGGGTTGTGATAGGGGTTGGGGTAGTGATAGGGGTAGTGATTGGGGTGGTGATAGGGGTTGGGGTAGTAATAGGGGTTGAGGTAGTGATAGCCAATGGGGTAGTGATTGGGGTTGTGATAGGGGTTGGGGTAGTGATAGGGGTAGTGATTGGGGTGGTGATAGGGGTTGGGGTAGTAATAGGGGTTGAGGTAGTGATAGCCAATGGGGTAGTGATTGGGGTTGTGATAGGGGTTGGGGTAGTGATAGGGGATGGGGTAGTAATAGGGGTTGAGGTAGTGATAGCCAATGGGGTAGTGATTGGGGTTGGGGTAGTAATAGGGGTTGAGGTAGTGATAGCCAATGGGGTAGTGATTGGGGTTGTGATAGGGGTTGGGGTAGTGATAGGGGTAGTGATTGGGGTAGTGATAGGGGTTGGGGTAGTAATAGGGGTTGAGGTAGTGATAGCCAATGGGGTAGTGATTGGGGTAGTGATAGGGGTTGAGGTAGTGATAGCCAATGGGGTAGTGATTGGGGTTGTGATAGGGGTTGGGGTAGTGATAGGGGTAGTGATTGGGGCTGTGATAGGGGTTGGGGTTGCAATTGATGTTTCCACAAGTGTCTTCGAGCAGGAATGTCAGGGCCAGGAGGTTCCCATGTTTCTTGGGTCACGTAATCAATTCGAATCCAGGTATGACCACGAAGCACAAAATTGCCTCGGGTTACTACAGGACAGTGCAACAATTCACCGACCCCACCACAACTTCTCTCCGTCCATTCAATCAATTATGCCACTTTAATAGAACAATTATATTCCGGGAAAAAATATAGTTTGCCTGGTAGTGTACGATATGTAATGTACCTCGTTTATTATTTGTAGTCTCATATATATATAGTAGTTGTATTCACATTATTCACTTAATTGTATCATTCCCATACCATTTGCATCCATCGAAAATCCACTCGTTCTTGCTTCGAGTCGATGCACGTTATATCCAGCCACTGGAGTCCACACGAGCCGATGCAGAGTAACTTACTCCATACTCACGGGCTCCTGCTGCCACCTAGCGGGCTCTTAGTAACATTGCCTAAGACATTCATAATATTTTTCGATTTAAAGCTTTCATGACTGCAGGGATTCATCTTCTTGGTTCTTTCGGTAAAGTCACGTAGAAGGGAAGTAATAAAATAATAAAAAATAATTTCTTATGTTTTATTTTTTATTTATTATGTTTTATTTTTATTATTTTATTACTTCCCTTCTACGTGACTTTACCGAAAGAACCAAGAAGACATTAATAATAGTCGAGAGATCGGTCTTTTTAGTTGTTCAACATTATTGCCACTCGTGCCAGGAGCCTAATTTGTGACAAGAGGAAAGATTTGCAGGGTGGCTGAAGGGTTATTTTAGCCAATGTTGGAAATATGGAATCTCGACTACCTCTCACTTTGGTCTAATAAAGGGTTTGACTAAATCATGCATCTCATTGGGATTTTAGATGGTTAAATATTGTAACACTTAAGGAGTGAAGGACGTGAAAGTAATTTAATTGGTCTCTCCGGTGTATAAAGGACATTGATTTATCTCAATGAGCTCTCAGCTGGTTAGAGAACTTACATACATATATTTTACTATTTGCATTTTACAAGGCAAGGCCTTGTTCAGAAGCGACCTGGCTATCACAAATGATAGCTCAACGAAGTGGCTTATCATCTGGAAATTTATAGCAGCAAAATACTCCAAGCGCACGTTTCTAAATGTAGAGGTGAAACCCCAGAGGACCTGGATAAAAAATCCACGTGACCATGGGGAGAACATGCAAACTCCAAATATACAGGCATCAGAGCCAGGATCGAACCCATGACCTCTTGTATACCAGGCGAGGTAGTCAACATCTCGCCGCCGTAGTACTGTGGACAGAATAGAAAAGCTGTGATGGATGATTCGTGGGATACTTATAGGCAGGTGTTATGTCTTAATTGAATTTGGCTTTCCTGTGTTTAAAGGACATTAATGCATCTCAATGAGCTCTCAGCTGGTTAGAGAACTTACAGAACTATATTTTACTATTTTTATTTTACCAGGTAAGGCCCACCGAGCTATATAGCTCTTTTCCAGAAGCAACCTGACCACAAATGATAGCTCAACGAAGTGGCTTATCATGTGGAAGTTTATAGCAGCCAAATACTCTAAACGCGTGATGTTGATTCTAAATGTGGACGAAAAAACCGGAGGACCCGGAAAAAAATCCTCTCGACCTCGGGAAGAGAGAGACACGCAAACTTCAAATATACAGCAGGCGTCAGGGTTGGGATTGAATCCACGACCTCCTATATACTAGGCAAGTAGTTAACATCTCGCCACCGTAGACTAAATAGAGGACATTAATTTCTATAATTTAATTTCACTGCGATCTTGCATTGTGAAATAAAATACACTAAATAATCTAAATGGGTTTCTCATATTTTTACCGAAAGAACCAAAGAATATGAATAAGAAACAACCCATCGTATTATATATTTGTAATTACTTGTCAGTGAGTGTAATTTAAAATACAGCAAAATACCGAACTTAAAATACCAATAAAGCCTTACCAAGTCTGAGATTATGTGCCAATGCTCACAACAGAAGATGAATGGAGGAAATTATGTGGACAATTTTTACATCTGTAAAGAAGCAAATGTATCCGCCATCGTACCATGTCTCCCTTGGATTTATCTGCCGAATAGAATTACAACTTCTTGCTGTGTCCAGCAGGTGGCCTAACTGCATAAAAAACAAACTTATTAAAACTTTTGTTTGTCCTACCCAATTGGAAAAGATTCACGAATGGTGATAAGCTACCAAAAGTTATTGGAAAGTCATAACAAACATCGTGATATGGTTCAATACAGAACGAGTTGGATTTCCATGGTATCGAAACCAACATAACGAAAGAAAAGTGAGTGGTTTCCTTTCAATATGTTTAATGTTTTTAATGTAAGTCACCCACTTCTGATAATAGGGGTTTCCCTTTTTTTCTGGCAACAAAACAGGTGTTAAGATGTTAAAACACCAAACTGTAACCTTTTACAAGGAATTATGTCTAATTAACCACAATGCTTGTGGTCAGAATGCAAACCAAAAACATACTCTGATATTCTATGCATCGTCTTTGAAACTGATTGGTCTACACCAGAGACAGCTTTTTTTTGAGCCTAGTCTTTAACGGTGTTAAACCAGAGGACGCCAAAAGGCGTACAGCCCAAAGACAATGCACTATCAGAGAAATGACAGCTCAGGGTGAGAATCTACATAATGGGACCTCCTTTGCCAGTACCAAAATATGATAATAGGTTTTCCCTTTTTTTCTGGCAACACTTGTTTCCGGCACCCAGTTTTATTTTAGCAAATCAAATTTGATTAATTCTGGGGTCAAAATAATATATTTCCTACTTTTAAGTGCAAATAAAAGTGTGTGCATTGAGAACGTATTTTTTTACTTCATTTATTTTAATCTTGTAAAAATATTTGTATACGTACATATTCATTCTAAGCTCTCAATCCAGACAATAACAATCGTTTATAATTGCCTGTATAATTCTAATATATTTGAAATTGAGAATAACATTTTTAGTAAAAAACGCAAAGAGGCCCAGGAAGGGCAGGAACTCGACCGTTCTTTAAATTAAATCTTGAATTGTCACGTGGTAGACGAGTCTGTGTACAATATTTCAGCTCATTAGGCTGCGTAGATCCGAAGATATTGAGCGTCAAAGCTTTGAAAGAATATAAACAGACAACATGGCAAGTTGAACAAAAGAAAGTGTGTAAAAAAAACACAGATTTCCCCTGAATAACTCAACAGCGGTGACCACACACAGACCCACATTACTATTATCAATGGAATCGCTGCGGTTTTGTTTGACATACGTGTGGTGACATTGACTTGAGTGTATTAACCGCAAGAGGTTCCCAGGAAAGCTCTAGAAAGCTCTAAAAGCGTTATTTCTACATACAGAGGTGATGTTACATCCAACGTCGATTTTTCAAAAAACAAAGTTACTGAAGGTGAAGTTGATTCTAAATAATCCCGGCGCATTTTAAAACGATGCACGCGAATGACACAAATTAGAAAATGAGCAACGGCAATAGTCATGACAAATGTTGCAGACCACATCATCGCTTGTCTTGTAAATAGAGCGGTGCATTTAGCGCGAAAATCAAATTGAAAAAAGCAACCGTTCTTGGTGAGATCTGCCGCGCCGAAAGAATTGAAGACCTACACTTGACCCGATGCATGTACATGTACAATACGGGAGTTCTCCCCTCTTCAATCACTCTGGTCTTGCCATGATGTTCCCGCACCTCCAATTAGCACGGTTGGCTTCGTGCGGTGCGAAAGGTCTACATATACATCATACACGTTCCCGTTTTTGTACCTCCGAGGTGGCAACTTTGAATGATTCATATTCTAATCAGAAATCAGAATCTTTAGCCTGGAGAAATCCGATGAGATATGAAGCTCTTTTTCCAAAGATGTCCAGAGGGGGGGGGGGGGGGGCAGAAAGTTACACCAACAAAGACATTTTAAAAAAATTATAGGAAATGGAAAGTGTAGTATATTTTGGCATCTTATGATCATTTTATGCTTTCATTCATTGTTTTGTCCATGAGAGTATTTTACATATTTGCAAATGTTTGTTTTATCTTGCGCGAATTTGCCTGAAACCTTGTGGTATAAAAGGCGCTCTATAAATAATTACTCCTTAATCTGCTTGGGTATATATGGTGTATCGTCTATAACATACATGGGCTACTAATTATAAAACATTAAAATAGGTTTGACACTTTCAGTTCAATAAAACAGGTATTAAACTGTTCAAACGGAAAATAGATACCTTTAACAAGGAAAGAAAATTTGAAAAACCGCCACTTTTTAAAATTTTCTTTGTGGATTTCACACCTGATGATGACTGCTTGTGTTGCAGTCGAAACGTCGTGAGCATTTGTATTGTTTTATTTTTCTATAATTTTATTATTTCCCTTCTACGTGACTTTACCGAAAGAACCAAGAATAAGAGGGTTGTTGTAGATAATTTGGCATCCTGTCGCGAAAACCGGGTGCGCTGGTGGCGTGTTGCCACCCGGGATACAAGGCGTACCACGTGATTTTTGTTTTCTCCACGTGCGTCGCGGGTGCGGTCATTCGTGGTGGTCACGCGCTGGGCGTGAGTCATCCCTTGTGGCGGCGAACGGACGCCCCGTGTAGCGAGAATTGCATTTTGGCTGCAGGAAATGCATGGCAGGAGGAGACTCGAAGAATGCAATTGTGGCGTGACATTGCCGGCTCGCGATTGGGTTAGGGCGGGGGTCGGCAACCTACGGCTCTGGAGCCGCATGCGGCTCTTTACGGGCTGCTTCTTGACGATATGTACGTATGTACAGTATGTACATAGATGCATTGCGGCTCTTGAAATACTGAATTTTGTACCGAATTGGAAAGAAATGGCTCTTCTTGTTATTTTGGTTGCCGACCCCTGGGTTAGGGGTAAAGAAGATAGGGCGGTCATTTACACACCCACCCCTCATACACCCCCCCCCCCCGTCTCGTTGAAAAATGTAACCCGTGTTAGTCATCTTGGACTTAGAGCCTGCGTTCAGAAAGTCACACTGAATGGGAGAGGGGGGGGAGTTTGGGGGGTCGGCGAGCCACACTTACAAAAAAAGGAGGAGGAGGCACGTAATGCAGCATTCGCACCGGGACATATCCGGTGAATACCTCTAATCGGTGATTACATTTTCAAATAAATAAAAGGCTGCGATGGCGTAAACACACCAACAACATTCACCGCACTCACTGGCCAACAATGGTATTAATATGCATGTAACAGGCTCCTTTGGGCAATTCCCCCTGATAAGACAAATTTGGCGAGGTTTTCAAAATATATTTTTTAGTATAGTCATTAGTACACGTTACTGTACATACATACATGCGAAATAAGTTCAACGTACATACATACGCACCGTACGAAGCCAACGGTGCTAATCGAAGGTGCGGGGGAAGGACGGTAAACTAAAGAAAGTACAATAGTAGAAACGACCAACATGCCTGCCACATAAGCCTCACTTTTCCATTACAGAACAGTACTCGAATTCACTCACACTATCCTAACAACAGGTTTCCACTTCTTCGTTGTGTTTGCAGCTGTTAACCATGTTTTACTTCAGAGACACTACGAAAACATTTTGTTGACTATCAAAAATGTCGGTCTTGTCCAAAAATCTTGACAACTGTTCAAGGCAACGACGCCCTGTACAGTCTACCCAGTTGCCTTCAATCATGTTTTTTGAGTAAACCCCTTTGATAAAAAAAAACACACCAAGCGGCACGAGTCACGGTGCTAAGGCAGCTATCTATATTATCTCGTGGGCAACTGTTTCACTTTCTGCAACCTTGACATTTATACCAAAACACGCCACGTGTTCTCGTATTTGATTTACAAGTTGTAAGCCAGAAGTAGTAAACTACGAACAACATGCATTCATACCTAATGCATCAGACATGCATTAGATATGAATGTTAATATATTTTTTTAAACTGCCATTTAATTTGAAATTACATGATCATTATATTCTGTAAACAACATGGCACACTCATACGGTATTCACATAGTACACTTATGTTGTTTGCTTATTTCAAATAACATGCAATCATGGTGAGCGAGAGCACTCTACATCTGGATATATGACTTGTATTACCCGGCCATGGCTGCTAGCATTAGTGGTGAGTGACGTGTCATCTCGTCCTGACCGCCCTCTGCACTTTCACCAACCCGCACACAGCGGCGTGTTGAGAAGTGGGATTTCTTTCCACGTTGTATGACACAGCAATTTGGACGTCCTTCATCGGCCAGTTGACTGAATGGTGGTGTGTTCTGCGGTTTTAGTGGCAAGTCGATGTTTATTTGGGATTAGTTGGAATCGGAGCTTTCGTGGTGAACTGGACTGGATGTGACTTTCCTGGCGTTTATGTACCCTGTAAGACTCATACGCGTCGTTATGCAGAATATAAATAACCCAATAACCAATAATTAAGCAGGCAGTATGCCACCTTCACATATCCGTCGAAAACACGTTTTTACACATCCCATTATTTAGAGTATTTATTGTACCGTTTCGTGTAAAACTAGGATCCATCTCTCACACCACATGGAACGTCATAAGCATTGGCCGAAACAATTCAGAGTACTGATGAGATTCTGAATGTCGTCGAAACCGGTCCGGGGTGTTAAACCGATGCTGCTGAAATCATACACTCTCAAAAGGCCACGTGGCCGATGCATCAAATCTGGCTGTGACGGTCCCACCTGATGACGGAGACTTGTGTTGCCTCCGAAACGTCGTGATTTTTGAAAAAATTTTATTTTAATTTAAATTTTTTACCTACGTGACTTTACCGAAAGAACTAAGAGTATGAATCCTTGCAGTCACGAAAGCTTCAAATCTAGAATAAAATACTCTTCTAATTTGTGTGTGTCTTGTATGTGTGGAGGGACGGATATGGGAAGGATGTAAATGTTGTTTTTAAGTATGACACTGAAATATTTCGGACACCCGTAGTAGTTATTACTTCCCCGGGGCCCCCATCCCAGAATAATTTCCTCATCAAAACTCTACACCATAGAGCTCGATGTATTTTTGACCATCACCACCTAGCCAGTGAACTGGAACACCTACACCAAGCCCTCAAGATGAATGGATATTCAGACTACACAATCCGTTAAGCGATCACCCCAACCGTTGGGAAAGAACCATCTGATGAACCAATCAAAACCATCACCTTGCCATACATAGCAGAGGTGACCAAAAATATTTCAAAAATCATGATAAGATATCTTATTTTGGAAATCGTGCACCTGCACGGGCACATGCACGGGTGCGTGTCCGACCAGGTGCTCGCGCTAAAAATAGCCGTATGAATATGCACGCGTCCCTCCCCACCTCCCGTTGGGTCGGCTTCAATTGGCAGTGCAAACACGCACGCAGGCACGGGCGTGCGGGCAAAAACGACGGCCGGGGTTGACGATAATATTCGCACGTTCCACCGCTGAGTGCTATGGTCGGTCGCTACACACTGTGTAGCGCGGCTGTCAATGTTTTTAGAACACATGTTGATCTAAAAAATAAGCATTCTCCGGGGGAGGACGGTGCTGAAAGTGGTTTGCTATTGGTTGGGGCGGCACCGCTCGATCAAACGTTCCCGTTTTGAGATACGCCGCAGATCCAGTCATCTTCGTGGGCAAAGTGTTCACCGTGGAGTGAGAGCCTCCGCCGTACGAAAAACTATTAAACTATTTTTTTTATTTTTCGATTTAAAGCTTTCGTGACTGCAGGGATTCATCTTCGTGGTTCTTTCGGTAAAGTCACGTAGAATGGAAATAATAAAATAATAAAATAATAAAACATAATAAAATAATTCTCACGACGTTTCGGCCACAATGCAAGCAGCCGTCCTCAGGTGGAGAGACAGAGTCTCCTCGACAGACCTGTTCTCCACCTGTCTCCTCGACAGACCTGTTCTCCCCCTGAGGACGGCTACTTGCGTTGTGGCCGAAACGTCGTGAGAATTATTTTATAATGTTTTATTTGTATTATTCTATTATTTTTTTTTTTATTTTACCAGATGAGGCCCACTTGGCTATACAGCTATTTTTCAGAAGCGACCTGGCCACAAATGATAGCTCAACGAAGTGGCTTATCACCATGTGGAAATTTACAGCAGCCAAATGCTCTGAACGAACGTTTATTCTAAATGTGGAGGGGGGGGGGGAAACTGGAGGACCCGGAGAAAAATCAACGCGATTACGGGGAGAGAGACACGCAAACTACAAATATACACAAGGCGTCAGGGTCGGGATCGAACCCACTTCCTGTGTACCAGGCGAGGTCGTTAACATCTATGAGCACTTTCGCCTCTCTTAGTTCTGCCCGCGTAACCCGAAACCGCACTGATCACAGAACAGTTAAGCGTCAACAAACTAGTTCAAGTACAGTAGTTCGTAAAAAAAAAACGTCGGTACAGTATTTTAATTGAGAATTGTCCCTCTAACCCAAGGCCGTAGCCATAGAGTCAGCATTGAGCGGGACCAAATCTTCCAGGCGGTCTGCGGATACCCCCCCCCCCCCCCCAGAAAAAAAAATCGAACTATGAAAACTAATTTATTGCCATTTCCTGCCTAAAATATTAAACAATTCACTAACACGTAGGATGGACTTTTTATTTATTTTTGACAATAATGTCTAATAGTGTATTGTATTACATTGCTCTGTATTTTCTTTTTTACCTTTTCTTGTTTCATTGTATGTAATGGCAGAGATGAGGAATTAATAAAGTACAACCATAACCACAATAATATTAACAGAAATCTATTTTATAGCAATATATTGAGGGGGACATTTTAAGCATATTTGAGACATTTTTAGCACATTTGAGACACACCCCCCCCCCCCCCAATATATATGTAGGACTCGAACTGACGCGACAGCTTCTTTGTCTTTCCTGATTCTTTATTAACTCATATAGTTCCACATCTCCTCCGTCGACATCACTCAATGTCCCTCTGTACACTTCAACTCACAACTCCCCATCAACATCACTCAATGTTCCTCCGTACACTTCAACTCACAACTCCCCATCAACATCACTCAACGTCCCTCCGTGCACTTCAACTCACAACTCCCCATCAACATCACTCAATGTCCTTCCGTGCACTTCAACTCACAACTCCCCATCAACATCACTCAATGTCCCTCTGTACACTTCAACTCACAACTCCCCATCAACATCACTCAATGTCCCTCTGTACACTTCAACTCACATCTCCCCATCAACATCACTCAATATCCCTCCGTGCACTTCAACTCACAACTCCCCATCAACATCACTCAATGTCCCTCTGTACACTTCAACTCACAACTCCCCATCAACATCACTCAATATCCCTCCGTGCACTTCAACTCACAACTCCCCATCAACATCACTCCATGTCCCTCCGTACACTTCAACTCACAACTCCCCATCAACATCACTCAACGTCCCTCCGTACGCTTCAACTCACAACTCCCCATCAACAT